AAAAAAAAAAAAAAAAAAAAGGAAAAGAAAAAGAAAAGGAAAAAATGAAGGAAATAAAAGAAAGGAAGAGGAATCTCTTAGACGAGAGAACGTAAATATTGTTCAAAGCAATTAATTCTCCGGCGGGCTACCACCTTCGCTTTGTCAGAAGGGTTCGCCTTGACAAAGAGGAAGAGGTTGGAAAGCCAGCCAGCAAGCCAGCCAGCCAGCCAGCAATGACCAGTGGCCACTGTCGTCAAAATACTCGAGGGGGTTGGGAGAGAGGAGGAGGAGGAGGAGGAGGAGGAGGAGAGAAGGGGTGAAACGGAGGATAAAAGACAAACGCCGCCTCGTCGTCGTTGTCTGATCGTGGAGATTGCTTTATTTGAGCGCATTTAGCGATCGAGATCGAGAAACCCCTGCCGAATATTTTGTTGAACCTGCTGGAGGTGGAGGAGGGAGGAGGGGGAGAGGCGTAACGCATTAAGCATCAAAATAATGTAATCTGCCGGCTGGGATCGGGCGATAAATATAATCGAAGGGCAGAAATTTGTCGGCGAGTTTGCATATTATTCACCTGTGTGCCTTTCTTTTGTATTCGAGATTGACCGATCTTCACTTTGGACGGCGCTGAATCCACGCCGCCGAATAATTTGCAAATTTTTTATTTACTCGTTGAATATCGGAGAGGAGTTTTCGTTCATCTTGCAAAGATAAAATTTTAATGAATTTTATCTTTTAATTGCGATAATTTGTTTTCGAATTAAATATTTTGTCTCGAAAATTGTAAAGATTCGCGAATTTGATTATTTTCTTTTCTTTCAATTGGAGAAAAGCTTTCTTTCATTTTGCAAAAATAGAATTTTAATGAATTTTATTTTTTAATTGCGATAATTGTCTTCGAATTAAATATTTTGTTTTGAAAAGAAGAAAATTGTAAAGATTCACCAATTTGATTATTTTCTTTTCTTTCAATTGGAGAAAAGCTTTCTTTCACCTAGTAAAAATAAAATTTTAATGAATTTTATCTTTTAATTGCAATAATTATTTTCGAATTAAATATTTTGTCTCGAAAAGAAGAAAATTGTAAATATTCACCAATTTGATTATTTTCTTTTCTTTCAATTGGAGAAAAGCTTTCTTTCACCTAGTAAAAATAAAATTTTAATGAATTTTATCTTTTAATTGCAATAATTGTTTTCGAATTAAATATTTTGTTTTGAAAAGAAGAAAATTGTAAAGATTCACCAATTTGATTATTTTCTTTTCTTTCAATTGGAGAAGAGCTTTCTTTCATCTAGTAAAAATAGAATTTTAATGAATTTTATCTTTAATTGCAATAATTATTGTTTGTTTTCGAATAAAATATTTTGTCTCGAAAAGAAGAAAATTGTAAATATTCACCAATTTGATTATTTTCTTTTCTTTCAATTGGAGAAGAGCTTTCATTCATCTTGC